GTTCGCAGCTTAGCAGGAGCTTAACCCAAATAGCGCCCGATTGTCTGAAATATGAAATTGGTCATCACATGGGGACCCCAGCTGCCAGCAGGATATGAATGTGGATTCTATCAAATGCCCCGTGACTGCATTATAAATTATTCAATTTACTTAATACAAAATCAATTCTTATAAATTGAAATGAGCTTTGGCAAGCTATGAAAAAATCATGATACCATCATCATCGTCGCTTCATCATCATAACAATCAAAGGGCCATGTGGGTGAGTGTATTACACAATAAACATCATCATTAAATATAATTGCATGTAACAGTTACTCAGTTTCAGTTTGGATCGAAACTCTGCCCGTTTCCCTCAGTCGAAGGGAGGGTGTCCTGTGGTTTTTCTGGGTGGTATTTCTCTGGTTGAACCAATGTGGAAAACCGCATTTGTTATGCAAACGCTCATTAAAATGTTTGCCGCGTTACGCATACGCATTGTTGGACGAAAATGAAATCGCAGACAGTTTACATTTTCTCCCCCTCAAATTCCATTCGATTTGTGTGATTTTCATTTTCAGATCTCGCTTTTTCCCGGCTCCACACAGCATGACCACTTTTCTCGTTTTAACTTTTCACCGTTCTAAAGAAGACATTTTCACCTGCTGCTCTGCACTTTCCACTTCAACTGCAGTGAGGCCAAGAAGGTTGAGTTGTTGTGCACTGACACACTGAATATTTCAGGAATTTCTTAATTGTTTAACTGGCAGCCAGAGAAAACAAAACAATCCTCGCATTGCCACTTTTTCTGCAATCCTTGTGTCCATTTAATAATTCAAAATATAATCGTTTGTTTGCTTGCACTGGGGAAAAATATTATTTATTTATATAGTTTGTTTTGGGCATATATTCTTGGCAAAGATTAGAGTACAATTTTAGATCAAGTAGTTTTTCATAAATATTTTTGTTTGTTAGTGAAGATAATATTTATTTTGAACTAAATGGTATTAGTAATACTTTTATTCCCAGTGGTTTTTCCAGTGTGCGCGTGTCTGTGCTTATATTTTATATTTGAAAAACAATTTTCCAGCAACGACAATGAAAATGTCGGCCAAGTTTGTGCGGAGGTCCTGTTCTTGGTCCAGTTGACCGGGACAACTCAGCATGTGGCTCAAAGTGCCCGAAAAAACTCGAAACGAAGCACTAGATGAAGCATAAGCAACACAGCGCGGAAAAACCATAGAAGGCGAAAAAAACACAGAAAAATAATAAAAAGAAATTGGACAATAAAATACAACAATTTATGGCGTAGAGCAATCCTTTCTGGTGGCACTTTCTAGGGGAAATGGCGGCGGTGGCACCAAAAGTCGGGAAAAGGCGGCAACATTGTTTGCGGTGGGTGGGCGGGTCAGCAAATCGTCATTGGAAACTAAACGAAAATGTTTAGTATGATTTTTTATTTCACTTTGCCATTTTTCTTCCTTGTCTGCCCACTCACATACTTCTTTTTATATTTATTTATTATTGCCGAGGTTTTTTGCTTTCATATTTTTGTTCCCCTCAGGGTTGGCAAGTCCAGATTTATTTTAAGAGGATTTGGAGTGGAACTAGTGCCCAAAGTATTTCGGGATGTCAAATCAAAATTAATGCCATAATAAGTTAACAGGGTTGGCTTTGTGCGGGAAAGGAGTCTAAGAAGAAAGTATGTGTTTGCAGAAAAGGGTAAAGTTAAATTGATAGTGAGTAATGTAAGTGTTATATACCTAAATACTGTTCGTAAAATAAATACTCTTACCAACTTTTTATATTTTACAAACTATTTGTATTTTAACTATTTATTTTTCGTTGTACAAGGATTTATCCCTCTTCATCCACAACCATTATACCATAATACGTACTTGGCTTTCGCTTCGAATCGCTCTGGTTCGATTTTTCCGCACTCGGTTTTTATTACTTTTATTAGTTTCCACTGGTAAGTGATGGCTGGTGGGGCTGCCAGTGGAATGGCTGCTGGTAACAAATGTTTAACAAAAGTTGTTGCCACTGCGGGTTGCGCTCCAGCTGCCAGCGAGATGATTTAAACGAGACGTGCGTTGCCAGCCCCCGGCAATCGGGTCCTTTTAGTGCCAAGGACGAGTTGCGAGTCCCGAAAACCGAAACTTTATTTCATTTAATTGAAATTTTATGTAAAACACACATTTCGTTTCGTTTGATGCATAGTTTTTTAACGCTCGCAGCGCACCGCCCCCACTGCCTCGACCAGAAACGAAACAAATGTGAAATATTTGCAAGTTTTACGAGCATTGAGTTATGTGGTTTTGCGGCAAGCGGGATTCCAGCTGCTTGACCTTCGCCCCAAATAATAAAAATAAAAAAAAGCCAAAAAGCGGGAGATAAATTCCATGATTTCTCACTGTTTGAACTGTTTTGGCCACCAAAGAGCAAATAAATTACATTGGCAAGCACGGGAGTTTTATCTACCCCAGCTTAGGGCGTACAAAATGCGCTGATATAAACAAACTGGAACTGCAAATCCTTTTATTTTTACGTTCGAATTGACAAGCCAACCCCTGACAGAATTCAGACAGATAAATGGGTGGGGCAAGGACGTGGGATCGGGATCCAAGTGCTGGCAGGATGTGTGTTTCGAGTGCTATCATCGCAATAAGAATGTACCAAAAACAATGGGAAGTGCTGATGGTTGTTGAAGAGTCTCACTTACATTCAGTGATTTCCTCGAGAGAAGAGCTTCTTTTCCTGTACACACAACACCAAAAAGAATAAATCATCCTTTAGTTAGTTTTATAATTTTTATGAATTTATTTATATTCAGTTTTGGTATTTTTCTGCTGGCCACTTACGACATCTTCCAATTTACACATATGAATTAATTTATTTATTCTCTGTTTGTTTTTGGTTATTTTCCAATTCACAACTTGACATACTTTCCATACAATTATTATTACTATTTGATCATTATCCATACAAATATTTACAGGGTGTTAAAACGCTGTCAGCATTTTCAAGTATTTTCCTATACGGTTACAGTTAGGTTTTTCACTTTATTATAGGCTAATTGTAATCGATAAATTGTAGTTTTCTTTTCAATTTCCATCAGCAGTAAAAATGGTTGAATTCTTTGTATTTTCGGTTTTGTCAGTTTTTGTATGTTGTTAAACATTAAATAATTTAGTTATATATAAGTAGTATTAATATAGATCTGTAATTTAATTTTAGTTTTGATCACATGTGTTATTCTTTGCCTTTTTGTTTTGTTCGCCTCTCGTTTAACCATTAAAATTGTTTTGGATTTGGATCTATTTTTCAACGTTTTTCTCTAAACAAAACGGTTTCATTTAATTTGTAGGTTGAGCTGCAAAAAGTTGGAGGCCAACTTCTTTTTGCCTATGCAAATTTGATGACTAAATTAAAACCAAATATTTGAATGTACATATCTATACATGAGTGAGTGATATAGGTGAGTATGTGTAGGTATACGAGTTAAATGGTTCTTGAACAAACGCGCTTACAGTTTTCCCATTTGCTCTCTATACAATTGATTTTTAATATTATTTCTCGCTTAATTGGTTTGCTTGTGAACTTATTTGCAATTTTGGCGGGTTGAATTTTGTATGGATCTATTAATTATACAATATGTTTACCATTCGCTGCTTTTCGTTTGCAATGGCAACGCTTTACTTGAATATTGATTAAAAGATTGGTATTTAAGCCTTACAAATGATGCAAAAAATGTGGTTACATTCAACTCGTGCATTGAATTACATTCCTTTTTTCGGTTGTCCTCGATTCCGCATTAAACCTTGGCTAATTAAATGTTTAATGTTAATTAACTAATTAAATGGGAATTTCATTTAGGTTAATAACGAAATTAAAAACTCTTTAAACGCATAATGTATTATAATTAAATCGTTTTGCTGTGCGTGCCGGCTAATGAATTCAGATTAACGAACTGCATTCGCTATCTGATCCGAATAAGCCCGGCAAATGTCGCACGTTCGTATGAATTCAACATTTATTTCATTAACTATTAGCTATATTCTTTGTAAACTTTTATAACTTTTTCATAGAAAAAATACACGATGAAAAATTAGATTTTCCTTCTGTGCTAACATTGAGCTTGACTTTTGTGATTAGCCTCGGCTTTGCTTCGAATTCGCTTTCCACTCTGTTTTCGGTTTATTAATTTCAGGCTAAATGTGCTTTACTTTCGCTATTATAGGCTTTACTTTCTCTAGCTTTTGTGTGCTATGGTTTTTTTGTTTCGCATTCTTAATCCTCCTTGTTCTGTTTTCTTTTTTGCCTGACTTAGAACTAGAGCTAGAGATAAAAATAAACATGGCAATGATATTTACACAATGTTGGCCAGTTCGGGAATGGGAATGGGGATGGAGAGGGGCTAGGGGGTTCTTGGGGGCGTTTGTTGGTGGTGGCGGTCTCCTCTTGCCACTTTGTATTTGTTTATGGGCAGAGCCCAGCTGTGCACAAAGTTGTATGCACTGAGAAAAAACTATTTAAGCTTTTAGGTTTTTAAGAAATTATTAAGTGTATACACAGAGTGAATTCTGACGTTCTCATTTGAGCTGAAAATGTTCTTAAAAACAGAACGAAATTTTTGAAGTTGAAAATGTTTTCATTGTTCTTGAATCAAGTTGAACTGGCGGTATTAATATTAATAATTTATATATTAATTAATTAATATCTCAATTACTTATCTGTTAGTCCAGCCTTATTGAAAAGTTGTTAAATAAACTCTATTTAACTTTTCTCTTCTCACCATTTCGTTCTAGTATTGAGAACATTGATACCAAAATGTACTTACGCGGTTTTTAAGAACGAATGTTCTCAATTCAAGAACAACGTACGTACGTGAATAATTCTCTCTGTGAACTATGAAATCTGTGCTTCTAAAGCCTTAACAGTCGCCATTTTTAATTTAAATTCTTTGTAAAAATTTTTAGAATTTAAACAATATTAAATATGTTTTTAATCTAATTTTTTATGTCAAAAATAAACCCCTTTGTAAAAAGTTTTCTACATAATAATGAGTCTTAAATTTCACTGGTTGGTCATGAATTAGTCAAAATTATATTAACAATAAATTAGAAAGGGAAGGTTTCTTACCATAATGTCGAGATGACGTTGAGTAACTAAGATTGTATCTAAATTATAAAAAAATTTAAAAGTGATTTTGAATCTATTTAATTTGTTTTTCTCAGTGCAGCAACAGCAGTTGGCCAGCTGCTCGACTCTGAGCGATTGCAAAATGTCGGCGTTTTTTGCGAATGTGTGTGGTGGGCATGCGTTTGTGCAGCATCATGCCACACACAAACACACAAACAATCACAAAAACAAAAACATCAGAGGAGGAAAACTTTGTCAATTAACCTAAAACAAGTTTCACTTTACAACACGTACGCTTGACATAATTTTTTGCCATTTTCGCCACGGGGCTGCGATGAATGAGACGCTGTGTGCGTATGGGTGAGCTCTACAAATGGAGAAATTATCACGTTCTTGGTCCTTGATAACGACAATAGGATCGGCCCATAATGTCTTCGGCTGGAATTGACTGATCAATGGGTGCCACTCGCAGAAGTTCCATCTGATCGCGCACCTGTAAGTAAATCGAATTATATATCCTTTGATGAAATTACCATTAGCCATTTAATAATTGTTTATGCATGTGTGTGGGTGCGTGGGAGTGACGACAGCTGCATTTGATTGATGAAAATTGATTGCATCGCGCCATTGCCAAGCTGGCACAACTTACAAAAGTTATTTAGCGTAATTGCCAAAGTTTTGTTTGAATTTTCAAATGCAGAAATGATTTCTCGGAACTTCTCGTGTACTCTTCATATGGCATTAATATTGTTCGCATGTTTTTGCGCGGCGCTTAGGCAAGCAAATTGGACTTGGATATTAGTTATGGTAAACACTCTCGGGGAAATTACCAAATGGGTTTTATAAAGATTTATTATGCATTCAGCTTGTGTTTGAATTTTTATGTGATTGATTTGAAGGTTTTCTAGGTTTAATAGATCTCATAACTAAATTGGAGACAGATTAAAATACATAATAATTTTTTTAATAATTAGATGTTACCTTAGTCCTTAAAAAATTACATTTCTATATCCCTTTTTAATTTTACCAATTTTTTTAACCATATTTTCAGCATGAATTTTGTTGTTCACCGTATTTTCTGCATAAATCTTCGAACCCCTTAATGCCACAAACACATTTGGTTCTTTTGAAATATGGGAGGATTTAAAAACTTCCTGCAATCGACTCTCTTTAAGTGCTTGGTGAAATGCTGTCACCCGACACGAGAACCAAGAATACAAAGAGTCAAATGTTTGTAGAGAAACCTCTTCCGCATGTCTAACTCGCCTGGCACTCACACAAACGTCCTGAATCCTTAAAGAGAGGCTCAAATCTGAATGCCAAACAGGCAGCTCTTAGTCCTGGCAAAAGTTGAAGCACATTTAATGCCACAAACACATAAAAAAGATGGTAGAAAAGGCAGAAAAGAGAGGGTGGGCGGAAAAAGCGAAATAAAATGAGAGAAAATGTTTTGTTTTCAACACCAAACACCTTTTGAGGGGCGGGCAGGGAGGCCTAGGTCGGCTGGGCCCATTTCCTGGGTTTTGTTTGCCATACAACAATCGAATTTACGACTTTTTTATGAGGCTTTATGTGCGCCCTGCCACACAAACAACAATAAAACGTCAGCTTTGGCTCAGTCATTGCACTTTGTGTGCATGACCCACTCACACAAACAGTCCCAAACACAACAACTATGGGAACTTTGAGCCATTTGCCTTTTGGCTAGACTCTTCCGGCCTTTGAGCTGGATTTCCCCACTCGCAGCCCTCAATTCAGTGGAAATGAAAAGCCCAGTTCACAGTTACAGTTTGAGTGAAGAGCTCAAAGCGGAAAATAAATTCCCACGCCACCACAAGGCAACGCATTTCCCAGCTAAAAGAACCCAAAGCCAAATCAATTGTAAGAAGGTCAGCGGCAACACTTTCACAATTCCACACACACAAAAATAAAATCAGAAACTGATGATTGTTAGGATGAGATTATCCAAGGATCATTTTTATGTTGGCCTAAATTATTTGGAGCACAACTTTTGCCCTCTTAGTTCTTAAAGATATATCTTTAATACTTTTAAAGTAATCAAAATATTGAATTTTATTGGAATATACTGATATTATACATTTTATTTTTATTTTATGTTATGAAAGCATTACATCTTAAGGATTGAAAATTCCAAATCAGATTCTTAGAAAAACCTTCAAGCTATCTTTATTTATTTCAGTGAGTGTGCGTAATAAAAATTATCTTGTAACTCAGAGTTCCCCCTCCTTTTTTACAACAGGATCAGATTGAGCCCCATTTCGAATCACTTTATTTTGCAGTGCACACAAGGCCTGCAAAAGATATTTAAATGAATTTGTCTCTCACAAATTGCTGCCATTTGCCGGGGACATTTGGCCATCCCCTCCTTGTCCCCAGACCCATCCCAATCCTCATCCCAATCCAATTCCTCAGATGAGGGACGAGGCCTGAGCCTCCGTTGCCGCCACTTGGGCTATGTGTCGTGCCAAATGCCGTTCCTCGCTCTCGCATTAGATATAAAAGGCTAAAATAAAAGATACATTTACACAAACACACAAGTGGGTCCAGGGGAGGGGACCCCAGAAATCCTTGGCTTTTCTTTGCCCCGACGAAGCTGCCTTTGTGTAGATAAAAACTGGCGTCGAGAAAATTATCATGTTCATGGGCTATGGCTATGGCAATGGCTCTCGGATCCGCAGATCCACTGGCCGCCTCCCACGCCCACAAATTTGCGGCCATCCTTGTTGTTCCTAATGTCCTTGGAAATGTGTTCCCAGAACCGGTTACTTTTGCTAAATCTGATCGGAACGAAGCTAGTTTTCAACTGCTGCCTCAGATATGCACTAAGTTTTGAAGCATTCTAAAATTTATGGGGTCATAAACCAACACGGACACATAAAATCATTTTAAAGTGATGGCAATCTTTAAAGAACGGTTTAAGTTCTCAGAAAATGTGCATTAAGCGACAAGCGTCTGAAAGACTTTTGTAATCTTTTAAGATGCTTTTGGGTAATAAAAAAAAATATACCTTATAATACGTCAAAAATAAATGTATTATCTAAAAATTATTTTAAAAACTGTCAAATATGTATACAAAGCTTAAAAAATAGTACAAAACTATATAAATATATATCAAATTTAGTTGTTAGTTAGTTATTATAATAAAATGTTTACTATACATAAAAAAATTAAATAATTTCTTATATTGAACACAATAAATCCACTGGAGTTTCGTTACAATTCTTTCCATAGCTTCATAGAATATTAAAATATATACACACCAATTTTTCATCGCTTTCGTAAATCCCCAGAAATCCCCTCGAAAGAGATTATGAGAACGCGCCGCCTTGAATTTTGAGCGAGTGCGTGTCCAGCCTAAAAGGGTATTATATATGTGCTGGGCCGTGCTCGTCCTCATTTTCTTGGGAGCGTTTGTGCGAGAGATGGCAATCATTAAAATGGCCTTTTGCCTAATTTCTATGACTTGCTTAATTATCACAGCCATGACCGACCCAGTCCTCCCCTGGGTACACACACAACCCAAAACAGCATTAGGCTTCTAATAATTGAACATTTGACCCGCTTTCCGTTATTATTTAATTGCATTACGAGGCGAGCTCTTGGCGACGTCCATAAGTAGGCTATAACGTATTTTATTTCGCCGGTCTCGGAATTCAAACGGGGTATTGGGGACTGTGAGCTCGGTTCAATGAACTGGAGACTCCGGAAACAAAAGCAAATGTCATTGGGATAAGTGTATGTATATGGCCTGGCTTAAATTCCAATGCTCTGGGCTTTTTGGCCAAAGATAAAAGGCGTTGGGTAACATTTTTAATTACTTTTTACCGCAAATGGCGGAAAAAAGCGGGGTGGAAGCAAAAAAAAACAGAAACAAACAGAAACGTATTAAAATACAATTCTTAATGAGCATTATGGCCATGTAATAAACAGCAGTAAAAAAAGGGTATTGTGTATATGGCTGGTGGCTGAGTGCAAAGCGCAATAAAAGCCCTGCGATTTTAATCAGTCGCAAGGACTGCAAAGTAGGCAATACTTTTGTGGCCTTATTTTTATGTTGTTACGATTATACCATTTCATTTCTTCCCCGATGATGGGGATGATGGGGATGGCGTAAGAGCGGCCTGTAATAACGGACATTAAGTATTTCTATGCATTATACACACGCCCTGAACTAAAACTAATTACAATGTAGAGACTGCGGAGAAGGCGCGAGAATATGATTAAAGTTTGCCTGGGTCGTCTCTCAGTCAGCGCGAGACAAGGGCTAAATTAAAAAATGCTGCGGCATCTCTTTCTCAACTTGGTCAAAAGGGGTGGCATAGGGGGTCCTACAGGGGGTGTCGAGTGGGCGGAACTTGGAGGAGGTTTTTATAATCAGCAAGAGCAATAAAATCTACGAGCACGGCCAGTGTTCAGGGGGCGTATGATTTATTTTTGTTATTAAATCTTTAAATTGGTTCAGCCAAGGGAGCTGCCAGCTTCCAAGATGAAAGGGGCAATTATTCAACTATTTTGATTTAGAGAGCAACGAGTAATCTTCATATAAATGGGTCTATCCAGTAACTAATCAGGCGAGATATCTACGAAATGTATAAATTACTTTTCCCCATTGATTAGAGATATGATAATATGAAATAGGTATTTAATCTGTAGAAACCTCTACTTTAATTCTTTAAAATTGCTATAATACTAACGTTTTCATCTAAATACCTGACCATTTAATTACCACTCTACTTTGCCTACCAGTTAATTTGAAGAACTTTTTTATTTCCAATTCAAGAGCAGTAAACACACATCCTTTGATAGGAAAACCAGAGTACTGTCTGCATCGTTTAGCCGTACATCTATCTATCCATTCATGCGTCCAAGCACCGAACTATCCAACCGTTCGACTGAAAAACAAACCCACTTGCAGGCCTTTGAATGGCACTAGTCTCCGCTCGAGTGCCGTTCAATGCCGAGGAGTAACTTCCTCGAGAGGGGCTCCGGCCCAGGCCCATCCTATATTGATCTAAATTGAATGCTGCTTGAGCTTGGAGTGCCCAGACATGGTCGTCGTCGTCGTGGAGCAGTAAAAGAAATCCCCAAGCCAAGCCAAGCCAAATCCCAATCCCATTCGCATTCGCATTCGCAGGACTATAAGCTGTATATCCGAGCGCAGAGCAGACGGCAAACAAGCTGACCGCATCCTGCAAACAAACTGCAGACTGAAGCTGTTGCTTCGGTTGCGATGGTCAGGCTCGTGTATAAATATCGGAATAAGCATTTGAAAATCCTTTTAAAATTATTTCACAACTTGCGTCTTTTCGACGTCAGCCAATGTCCTGCCAGTGGACAGTGTTCCAGCTCCTGCTGCTGCTCCTGCTCCTGTTTCTCCATTATCCTTGCCTGCCCGTCTTCCATTCCAAGTATGTGCAAATTCCATTGCAAAGCCACATTATTCCTTTTATCCTTGCGAAAGGAATTTTCCAACTGCAATAACAACCGGGAGAAGGAGACGGCGAGGATACCATACCAAAGTCCTTTTCCAACTTCTTTGTTTGTTTGCTGTGAAATGTGTGTTTAGTTCTGGGGACTAGCTTCGACTTTAAGTCGGTCAGGTACGCGCCTAATACCAAGAAAAAATAGCACAAAAATAATAACGCTGGGACAAAATTTGTAATACTCTCGCAACGCACTCAAAAGTCATGCTAGTTTCCATTCGACCTCTATTCTCAAGAGGCTTAGGATCAATATTTGGAGTGTCAAAAAGTATGCTATGAATTATGTATTTTATGCAGCTAATAATAACACCTTAAAATATTTTTGAAGCACAGCTACACCAAAATACACTGAGGTTCTCTTGTTATTTTATACATTTAACAAATATGCTGCATCCTTGGAGTTTCAATTAGAGCTACCCTTTCCCTAGGTAACTCTAGAACAGATAGGATTATCTTTCCATCAGAAGTGTTTTGTTTTTTTGAAAATGTCAGACTCTAGAAAACAAAATTCAATACCCTTTGTCAGAGTATCTAAGTATCCTTCAGGGGCAGAATGTTGAACAATAGAAAAATGCCAGAGAAAAGTAAGCAATTTCTATGTGTTTTTTGCTGTGGACTCACCGCTTCGACTTCCTTGAATACACGTATTAGATTCCTGCCAGCCAACTTGGCAATATCCTCCTCCGACCATTTATCAGACTCGAGCAGGGCAGCAAAAAGATGCGGATATTTGGACACATCCTCCAGTCCTTTGGGCACTCTTAAGAGGAAAGCAGAGAAAGCGGAGAAAGTAGAGGAAAGCACAGAGAAAAGAGAGTTAGAGAGCGACCATAATTTGGCAAATGAAATGAAATGTAATTGGAGCTGCAGCAGAAAGCTGGCCGAAAGTTGCCGCACTTACAAGTTGACTCCGTCGTAGCCAGCTCCAATGCCAACATGATCGATGCCGGCCACCTCCCTTATGTGGTTGATGTGCGCTGCGGGGTCAAAGGGTGGCCCGAAAAAGCACAAGTTTAAAGATTAATAGTGCGACCGGAAAGGGCCCCATGAAAAAACCACCTACCCACAACATCGTGCAATGTCGCCTGTCCCGAGCAGCTGACGAAATGCGGATAGAAGGCCACCATAACCAGACCGCCGTTTATTGCCTGCATTGGATGTGGAATGGGATCGGAATCGGGGTATATGGATTAATGGGTGCCCCCGGAATTAATGTCGCCATAATGGACTCACAATGCGCTGCAGGACATGGTCGGGAACGTTGCGGGAACTGTTGCAGATGGCGTGCGCCGAGGAGTGCGAGAATATTAGCGGGGCCCTCGAGGCGGCCAGGGCGTCCAGCATCGTGGGCACCGAGACGTGCGACAGATCAACAATCATGCCCAGTCGGTTCATCTCCTTGACCACCAGCTGCTCGATAAAGATGGAGATTTATTGTGATTTTACTACTATATTGTCTTTGAAGGGGCCCTCACCTTGCCAAACTGCGATAGGCCGCCTATGTGCGGGTACTTCCCCGGTTCGTCAACTTTGCAGCAGTCCGCCCTGGAAAATAAGTTATTTTTAAATATTTTTCACAAAAGGTTTAACAATTAAATAATAAGTGACATGCCAATCCTTTGTGATAACTGGAAAGGTAAAAATATATCTTTTCAACATATTACTACCCACTAAAAAAATAAAAAGTATGGAATCCTTGCAGAAATAGGTATAAAGTCACTTTTGGAAGTGTCTAAAAGTATGCAACAATATTTTTGCAAATCGAAAGAGATGGCTTCATTCCAAAAAGTTGACGACCTACATTGCATACTTTTTTAAAATTATAATTGAAATTTGTGAAATCGTTTTATTTTTTGTAGATTCCTAGAAATATTACTAGAGCATGTGTAATTTCCATTTCCTGGAAAATGGTGACATTTTAATTTCACTGCATAAGTGATGTTTTAAATCGATATAACCAATTTGTAGGTTCCTAGAAATTATATTACGGATGGAAATCATACCCATTTTCCTGGAAATTATGTTTTCTTACACAGCCTGCTTTTAAATGATGCATTTTTTACTGTTCTGCTAAACTCACCAAGGTGTATTGCAGGTGTGTGTGAGAGTCAGGTATCTGGCGCCCAGTTGGTAGAACATTCGCAGGACACTCAGGCTGGTGCCGATGGCATGTCCGCCCTCCACGCCAATGAGACTGGCGATCTTGCCAGTCCGATGGGTCTGTTCGATTCCCGAGGCCGTCGTGACCAGCGCCATGTGATGCGGATACAGCTGGACCAGTCGCCGGATCAGGTCGATCTGCTCCAGGGTCAGCTGCACTGCATCCAGGTGCTGGGATGAGCAGGGGGCGTAGGCGGACCAGAACTGGGCGGAGACCATGCCCTCCTTGAGACGGCGCAGATCCGTGTGACTCCAGGCACTCGAAGACCAGGGAGCCAACTCCCGCAGGTCGCCGCCAAAGTGAAAGTCCTTCAGCTGGTTCTTGAGGAACTTGCGGATATTCCACGGCAGATCGTTGTGTCCGTCGATTAGGGGCACTTCCTTCAGGACATTGCGCACTCGCTGCATCCGGAAGTCGAAGTCGTCGGCGGTCTTTGAGCCCCCTGACCCGCCGGACGCTCCTGCTGCTGCTCCGGCCGAGCATCGCAGGATGGGCAGGACGAGCGGGAAGTAGACGAAGGTCAAACAGTTGAGGCCACAAAGCACGAAGCCCTTTGGCAGCTTCCGCGATTTCATTGCCCCCGAGCGGCACGGAGCTCTAGTGGAAGAGCACACAGTCCGCAGCACTCACATTGATGGTGTTTCGCCTTCTAGCTGGAAAAGAGATAATGAGAATTAATGTAGATCTAGTGCTTAGATAGAAATGTGTGTGGAGAGTAGAGAATTTATGTTCAGCTTTTTAAAGTAAATCTAATACTTAGTGAAGTATAAGTATATAGGGAATTTAACAAAAATCCCTAGAATAGTTTGTTTAAGGTGTCAAGAAGTATGCAGTGAATTAATAAATTTGTTAATTAATTTGTTGCATACTTTTATGCATTTACAATAAAATACTTTATAACCAATGTTAAACAAACTCACAATATCTTCAATCGTAGCGTCACACTATTAAATATTAATTTCAAACATCAAGCAATCTTAAATCAGAATACTTGTTTCTTTGCTTTTAGAAGGGGTTCTTCTTCCCTATATTCGATGGCTCAAAGGCGGGGAATTGGTTTAGCCTATCGCATGTGCGGGTGGCGTGATTGAGCTATTGAAAGTTGTTGGCAAACAAATGTCATAAATATAACGCCCACGGCTTTGCTACCGAATAACCCCGTCTCCTGACCCCGAACACAAACGAGCCCCAAAGCCACGCCCCCTTTAGCCCGGCTTTGCCACCCCACAAACATAAATAAAACTTTTCATATTTATTTCAGAGCCCAACTTCAAATCGAAATCGCGCACAAAATGCATAAAATGCACAATAAAAATGCAAAATTATTTATAGCAAAGTTTCCTCTCGATTTATATGCTTTTTTCCTTTTTAGCCAGCATATCACCGAACCCCAAAAAAAGAATCATAGAAAATTTAAATAGTTTCCCCTGCTGTTCGGTGGAATAGTTCCGAGAGAGAAATACTTTATCCATCGGTTTTATTTTGGTTGTTTTTCTTATTCGCATACGACATAAAGTTTGGCTTGAGCCTGGCAGGTGGCAGAAAACTAAGCGCCGAAGCCAGGGGAAAATCGAGAAAGCGAAGTTCTAAATATTTCCCCAAGAAATTGAAGCCCTGTTTGGTTTGCCGAAACGGGCCAAGTGGGTAAATATTTATATATGCTTTGTCCCAGAAAGTGAAATTAAAGTTTTGCCCCGAAACAGGGAAACTGAGCTAAACTACTTTAATAGTTTTCAACGCAAAAGTCGGCCAAGAAGTGGAGCAAAGTAATGGCCAAAATGAAATGGTAAGCTGGGCAAATGGAAATGCTTTGCCAAACTTGGCAATGTCTAGCAGGTTGGCTAAAAAGGATAGTAACTGAATTTCCCGATGTCAACAAATCTAATAAGTAAATCTCTAGCAGAGAAATGGAAACTTAAAAATAATCAAAATATACAAATCCACAAATCAAATAGTAAGCAATTTTATTTAAATTTTCCTAGAAATGTTTTATTTAAATTCCAAAAATTATTGTGCATTATGTATATTTGGTCATGGTATATAGTTTGCGTAACCATAAAGTAAGCTTTTTAAATCCCTCTAGAAACCAAACCTTTTTTATCTTTCTTCTGATTATGTTAGCACTTGCTTTTCTTTCCTATTTTCTATTTATTCCATAGTATTTGTCCCCTATTTTACCATTTTCCTGTGCCAACTGTTGGTGTGCACTCTGCAGGTCACAAAGAAATACGAGTAGAGTTGCGAACGAGGGGCCAGTGGCATCCGCATGTTGATTTTCATGCTCTGATGCCTGCGAACAAAATGAAAACATTCCACTGTGGAGAACTGGGGCGAAGTCTTATCTGCTTCCGCTTTTCCTCCCAGTTCTGCAACTGATTATGGATTCGGTTTCTTCGGGGTTCGATTTTCCGCCTCAGCATATACTTTTTCCCTGTGCCATTGTGCTGTTCGGAACAATCCTTAAGCTATCTGGCCAAACAGAAATTATGCAAAAATCAACAGAGTCGACGATGAGCAGGAAATGACAACATTGACAAGGGCAACGCGCCACGAATATTTTGCTACATGCAAAACGTGACTGAAACACAACGCACGAATTATTAATACAACAACGGCGGAGAGGAAGCCAAATTAGACCCAGTTGGGTTAACAGGAAGCAAAGGACGAAGGACGCAGGACTTCGAAGGACGGCAAACAAAAGTCGAGTCTCGGGCCTGTGAAATCGAAAACGTTTGGCGCTTCATTAAACATTGATGCCTTAAAACAAGCGGCATGCAAACCGAAATTAAGAGCCACAACATGGTATATTTAATTAAATTGAAGAGGTCTCGCTCGCAGCAGGGGAAAAGTCAACCCAAAGGATAAAGCAAAATTTAATGTAATCCTGGGATCTGGCCTCACTTAAAAGTGCATTAAATATTTTACCAACGGAAGTGAATATTTTAACTGTGGTTTTAATAATATTTAATATGTTTTGTCCTTGATTGGGATTCAAACTTACGATTAAAAAAACTAAAACTAAAATAATAATAATTAATCATTTTTACTTTCTACAATAAATAAAGATATGAATTATTTGTAAGATAATACACTCTTAAGGATCGATAAATCGGGTTTAAACACATCTCGTACCAGGTAGTGTGTAATTTAAGCCCTATTGAAGGATATTAAATATGGCTGGTGGGTTAATAAATTGTATTCCCTCTCCTCGCCGTTCAAAAGTGAGCGGCATACAATTGCAGACAGAGGACAAAATGGGCGCAAGGATAACTGCGTGCAACGCTGCGTATGAGCAATGTGTGTGCGCCGCCTTTATTTCATATATGCATTTCTTTTTTGTTGAGTGGCATGCATGGGCGTAGGGATGTGCCGGAACGAACGGCAGGGGTTTGGGGGAAATGGCATATATAAGGCAGCAGGGGATACGTACTGAATCGTACATTTATTGCAACATGAAACATTATTTTGTATGGCCTCAAAAAAAATAACGAACGTAGGAAAGAAAATGGAAGCGCGGCGGTAAGGAAGTATGGGAAAAATAAGGAAAATGGGTGGGAAATGGGTGGCTGGTTGGCTAGAAGAAGAAACCGGAGTGCGCGCGTTGGAAAATTGCAGTAAGGAAATGCGATGTCCTCGTTGCAGTTGGAATTTCCATGCAAAGTGGCAAGCAAATAAATATAAAAATGCTTTTCTTTTCTACATTAGTGCACCATTTAAGGAAGTTGCCACGCCCCCATAGCCCCCTCAGATATTGCACGGCGAGTTTGTCGTCTTTCATTTTCATTCCATTTCCATTTTTCCCTTCACAACTCCAGCCGAAGCCGAAGCGGCAAAAAATAAAGGAAACGTGCCCGTAAACTACAGCAGACAATCAAAATGCATTCATGTGCGCTTACTTTACGTTATTTATAATCAAACCCCCGTTCCGCCCAAAGTCCCTTTTCATTCAGCTCTAAATTCCATTCACTAGCGAATTGTAGCGAACAGTCAATGCGAATGGCGCCCAAACCACCGCCCCCTGGAGAAATTTTTTCTTCTTCCGAGGATTGGGTGTTTTTCAAGGGGGTCTGGGATTTGTAAGCTCGGCAGGAATGTGGGTACCCAGTGTGATAAGGTTTCCCACCCATAATGCTCAAGTTGCGTTCCCCGAGGCCATGCTGCTTTATGCTTATTCAATTTTACAAGGATAATAAAACGTATCATTAGAAGTCCTGGTAGTAGCAGCGGATCTCATGACCAGACAAAGCCGTTTATGAAGAAGGGGTGGGAGACGAATTATTTCCTAGAAGATTATTTTCCAGAACTCTGAGCAAGAAAATTACTGTTAACGGTTATAAGAAACAAGGGATTACCTTGTTTTAATTTTTGTAAGTCTTTTGGCATTACCATTGCATAAAACATTAGGAATTCAAGCTGTAGGGGTGATAATATTTTTAAATCAATAAAAAATATTAAAATTAGGTCATATTTCGTGGAACACTTCAAAAGATTCCTAAAATGAGAGAGAAATATTCCCATTAAGACTTCGTCTATACTTAACACAGCTATCAACTTTTAATGCTGCTCAATGCAATTGACCTATTTATAAATAAATATATTATTTTCTTTTCTGACATTATTTTCACCACCAACACTGAAATCATTGAAATACCACCCTGCTGAAATTTTCACGAATTGAAAACTTTTCCACATGTGTATTTGCATAAATTAATAGAATGGACGATTGGAGGCAAAAAATGGGGCTCATATGGCGAAGCGAAATAAAATTAGAAACACAAAAGGAACCAAATCAAACTTTAACAAGGACTTTCTGTGTTTGTTTCGGTATATTGTGATGCTCCTCGTTCTACGCACATTCTGGTTTGTCCGTAAACAAGCGAAACTGAACACGGGAAATTCAATGGAATTTTTTCGAGGACCGGAAAAGCGGCCACAACAAACCGCACAGATACCAACGAATTGACAACCGGCCCAGAGGCATGCGAAATGGCCTTAGAATGAATTGAAATTATTTTACAACATTTTCATGTTTCTTGCCATTTGTTTGATTTGCCTCGACCTTCGCTTTCAGGTCTCTCTTTTATTGTTTTTATTCCTTTTTTGTCCATAATTTATGCTCGAGTTGAACTCAATTGCAGGCGTAAGAATCAAATGAAGCCTTTAAAAAAGTTCTGACCCAAAATAAAACGACATATGTTGCAGAATGCCACAAGTAATCAGAAATTGAATCGCCCCCGCAGATGTCGAAATAATAAGCAGTAAAGCAGGAAATTCATATACGATTGTTGTATTAAATTGCTGGAAAAACTTCAAAGAAAATATAATACAAGCCAAATTTATAAAATATAAAACATCGGGAAAAATTTAAGCTGATTGCCTAAAAATGTGAGAGCCAAAAAAATTATCAACCCAAATTATTCTCTATTTAAATAATAAGAAATATTAAAATAAGGCAAAAAAACAAGCCATTTAGGAAAAACATTTTCAAATTGCAGATTTAATTAAATTTGAGAGCCTTTTTCTCAGGCATATTTTTCCCACAATATTCCTATTGAAATTCTTAACAAATTTAGTAGAAAGCAATTACTTTCCCATCCCAAAGTGCGTTGTAGAAATGACTTGTACCATTTAATTGAACTCCCTTTCGGAATATCTCACAAAATCCAGACTGACAAACACTTGGAAATCGCAATTTGTACCATTTCAAGAGAGATTCCTGATCCAAGCCACAAAACTCAAACTGCCAGAGACCATAAACACTTTTGTCCCGAGACCAAGACTAAAAATGAGACGAGCAAAAGGTAACAAGCATTTATAAATGCCACAACAAAAGCCAGAGAAATGTGAGCCGGAGTCTAGGTTAAATTTTGGGTTTTCGGTTAGCAATACCTATAGCTCCAGGGGCGTGGGCGAGGAGGGGTCAGAGGGAAAGGGGCGGATAAAGTTCAAAGCAAATTGTTGCGGAAGGCAGGAATCAACATTATCATCAGCAGCCAGGATGCTGCTCAGTCGGCTATAGGATACTCATTCTCATTCTCATTTCGGGCAAATGCAGATGAGGACGAGACAAAACACAGACACAATTTAGATAGGGGGAGTATTTTCCCAGAGTGTGTATATGGAGGGGCGGCCAAAAGGGGGCCGGGGTGCAAGAGGGTGTGTTTCGTGTCGCCTGCCGCATATTAATGAGCCAAATGCCACAAAGCCAAGCTAAACGCGCTCTCATCAATTGCTCAATATTATGACTCTGGCGGGCGAAAATCTGCATATGAAACCCATATTCGTATGTACACTGAATACTCAGCAAAATCCGGGAAAACTATTTTGCATTCTTTGCTGCACACATTCTGTTTTGGGTACTTTGTATTTGAAGCAACAAGGATCTTTAATCTCATCTTAAATTCTGGCTAGAAAATCTTCACAAGCGAAAAGGGCTTTAAAGAAAACAGAGTATGGTCTAGCAAGCTTGCTAATGGTATAATAATGGGTATTGTTAAATCGTTTTTGAATGTATTCCATTAAATACCAAAATCCCTACTTAGAAACATATTAGGGCTTTTCAATGACCGCAATGTTGTATAAATTTTGAGCATATCCTTTTAAGGTTATATTTAATAACCACTTTTCAAACTGTTGTGCTTTTATTTTTTAACAGAATAAAAACAGCTTGTAAAGTTGAAAACAGATATATTTCCCATACAATCCTTAGTATTAATAAAACACCCATTTATTTTCTTACCAAAACAGGGCAAACAATTTATCATTCTTATGGCCCGCAAGTTCACACTTCTTTTTCGTATTTTTTCTACACTTTAATATGAGTTAAATCACTGCTGGTGCTTGAAGTACTGGCTCTGGGGCACTCCACTCTGCGGCTCACATAACTAAAACAATCAGATATTATTTCGCAGTGGCTGCACCATACAATACGTAACGTAACGCATACGCCGCGGTGTACGCGGGTGAGGTCGAAGGAGACGCGCAGCGCAAGTGGAACGCAACACGTGTGGGGCGACAGGTGCCAAGCGTTTGGCACACAACTCGACCGGCCGACGCACGAATTCGAACTGAAAACTGAACCAGAAACGGACTCTGAATCAGAAACAGAATCAGGATCCCCAAACGACACTGGGAAGCGAGTGGGGCAGGCACCAAAAACCGAAAAAGGACGAAGGACGAAGCCACGAGGTGCAGAGAGCAAGGACAACGAAGAGCACTTTGGCTAGGGTTATATTATTAGGTAAGAGCAGTTCTTAGTTAATATTAGATATTTCTATCATATGACTAGGAAATTGTTAAAGTTATACATCTTGAAACTCCTTATAAATAGTATTACCATTTTTAAAGTAGAAACCCTATTCTTCAGTCATCACTTCCATTCAAAAATCTGTGCCAAGTGCTTTATAAAGTCAGAGCATGTCCTTCTGAAGAGCATACAGTTCTCTTTCGGCCAGTACAAACTCATCCTAAAATACTGGGATATTTTCTCTAAGTAGGCGCTCTCAATCAGCTGTTCGAGTGCCAGGGGGTTGAGTCCTTTAACATTGCAGGAGGTCAGGCATGGCGTGAAAGTCGCTTATCCTAGCTGCTGCTTCTGCCACCCCTCGTTTTTGTTGCGCTGCCTTTGGAACGCCTGATGCTGATGGTCACGAAAAATTCATTGACCGCTCCAAGTAGAGCAGGTCGCTAGTAATTAAGCGAAAAATACACCAAATTAATTATTCCTCTTCATTTTAAACTATTAAATCGGTAAAAGGGGAGCGAAATGCGGTTGACAGGCTATTTTAGAATATATTTTGCTTAGATAAAGCTGTTTTAATTGAATCTGGAATAGAAAAACAATTCGGGAAACTAGACCCTACTGATGTGTCCCATTTTACACTTTTCCCTTAAACCTGGGTAAAAATATTTCAAACATTAGGTGTGTTATTCGCTTTGTTAAATTGGTACACGGTATATGGCAAAGTTATCATATATCATCTCCGATCATATTTTCTTGATATGTTCTTGCCCATTATCAACTTTAAATATGTCTTACATAATTTTTTCGGGATAACAAATATTTATACAAAACATATAATAATATTTTCTGTTTAACTCTCTATTCGATGTTTTTTTTTCTGTACCTAAGTTCAAGAGGTATTACTAGTAAATTCATTTGTTTTTTCAGATCGGTTAAAGAGTCCCCTTTACATTTATTTATAGGTTACTAACTGTATAGGTTTGTAAATCTATAACTTAGTTTTAAAATAATATAAAATATCGAAATTCCTAAACTTACAATTTTAAATGTAATCCCGCTCAGTCTAAAGCTGAAGCAGTCCAAAGCTGTCCCAAGTTCTAGCTTGTTTTAACATCATCTTTGGGGTTCCCTCACCCACTAAAAGCTCCCCCGTGGAGCTTTATTTTGGACTCCGACTGCTTGGGGATCTGGGAATTTTTAGCGCTTGGCTCAGTCGGTTGCCCAACACCGCCGGCGACGACCTCTAAACAACCTTTTGGGGTCTCGCTCGCCATGTCTCGCTTATTTCGCTTTGGAATTTCACGTTGACGGCGCAGTCGGCGGGAGCAGAGGCATCGGCAGAGGCGGCGGCAGCGGCAGCGACCGACTCGAAGCGAAAATAAAAGCGTTAACCGCTCTCCTCCAGTGCAGCAGCAGCAGCGGACCCAGCCAGTAGCCAGCAGCTAATCACCACATCCCAGATTCAGTTTCCAGTTCGGTGAGTGGGCGTGATAAAGTGGAGGAACCCCTGAGAAAAATCAGGAATATATCCCATAATAACTCATAATCTGCCAGTGCAATTGAAAAGTCGCGTAATCGTTCCCATTTTTCTGGGCTGTTTCGTAATCCCCAGTTACAGAACAACACAGAATCTGTAATCGTGTGAGTGAGTGCGTAGTTCCCATGTATTTCGAATACATTTTCATCTCACCACTTCCTCGTGCTCAAAACTCTTATGACAAGTTCTAGAACCTTGAGGTTCCCGAGTGCTGTTGACCTATGCCCCGTGGAAAAAAAGAGTGGGGTTACGGAAACTGCAGGCGATAAGAAACCTTATCGGGTGACTCTTAACTCTCGAAAGTAGTTTTTCTCTACCGGCTCAACCGGCTCTCTCTCTTTAGTTTTTTTTATCCCCACTCGCTCTTCCAATTGAGTTCATTTGCTTATTGGCAAAGTTTCAACTGCAATTTGTAGTCGCCGCTGCGGGTTTTCTTTATAAATAGTTGCCGCAAATGTTAAATGTATGTACTATGCATCGGGAAATACACACATTTTCGTATCATTCAATTAGCCAACGTCATCGAAATTCCTCGGTTTGTTGACGTCTTCCCTTTACTTTATCCGTCTTTATCTATTGCACTTTTTATTTACCTTTCATTGAATGAGTAGAAGACGTAATAAAATTGAGAATAGGTGGGGTATAATTTCGTATAGAGGGACTTAAACAGAAGAGAGAGGCACAAGTTTAGGGGTTGTTTTGATAGGAACCTACACATGTATGTATATTAAAACGAGTTCTGGAGGGGCAAGGACTTCTTTTGAAGGTCAACTGCAGATACCTGTATATGATATTAAAAACAAGATACATTATTATGATTTTGTTGTTTTTTAAAAACATTTTTCTTTTTTATAAATTACATTATTGGCTGTCAAGATTTCATAAGACACATACAATTATTATAACTACACTACTGTAAATACCATTTTTAAAAGCTTATCATTTTTATCAAACCTGAATCCTTATCGTAATTGATGTAACAGCTCGATTAAGCATAAAACACCTTACTATCGTAAAGAACTTGATAAGAATTTTTTAACTTTAACTTGTATTTATAACCCCCTTAGCAAACAGTTACCAAAGCAAAGTTACTGAGGTCACACAAGAAGGGCATATCGTTAGAAATACAGGAGTACGTGACGAATCCAAAGTTCCCTGCCTTCAAAAATGTTTTTTATATAAAATACGTTGTATACCACCCATTTTTGCTGTTAATCGCTTGACGTCAGTCGGTAGTCATTCCATTCGTAGTAGTTAGTATTATCTCCCTTGGGTGATGTTCTTTTGACCCACTGTCTGCCTTCGAGGAGGCCGGACCTAAAATCTCGTTATGATAATACAAAACCTTTGGAACCGCCAGTGGGGGCTCGTTTTTTCGTTGTTTTTGATTCAAAATTTCCACTGATAGCTGATACGAAATGCGGCCACAAGTCGAACTTGTTTGTTCATCTTTCCGAAGCAACTTCTACCATATTCCATGACACTTTTTAGACACTCTGTAGATTTTTTGTTCGTTTTTTATCAGCTTGTTTTTGTACAAACACTGCCATACATATAGACCGACATGTGTCGGTTTTATTTTTATACACGGTTTCTTGATAGCAACGTACATTTATTTTGATTGTTTTTTGTTGTCATGCGTTGCCTGTATCTCTTTTATTTTTTGTTCATCGTATATATTTCGCCTCGTATCCGAATCTTTTTAGTCTTCGATTGATTGCCGGCAAGTGTAGGTGGGTGTTGTCTCCTGAGTGAATCCGAACTAGCTATGGATCTTATCCTATAGATACAAATTTATACATAAAAAAAATACGAGTGAGAAAACTATTATCTTTCGTGAAGTTAGATGAAATTTTAATATGATCTGTGAAAACATAAAGCAAGAAATATAATTTCAAACTTTGAAAATTAAATTTTTTTTAAATACTTATAAAAATAAAATGTATTTGAGCAAATAATTGTAAATGAGCAGCGTTAATGAAAAATCGACGAGAATTAAGAACAAAATATCATACAATCTTCAAAGTTTTTAGCAGGTCACTAAAACATTTCTATACCACTAAAATCGCAAGTTTTTCACGTGTATGCCAAGTGTTAAATATATGGCGTGGGAAACCTGGGTGATGCGGTAAACAATTTTTTGTGATAAGTTGCGGTGGTCTAATCTATAGCGTGATATTTGTGCCATTCCAGTCCTTGGCTCATTGTCAATGTCAAACAAGTAGAAACCGAGGTTTTAGTCATAGCAGGGAATTTCGCATCTGTATCTACATATTGCTGGATAGTCGTCGGTCTCTTTCGCACTAGATATAGCTATCTCTATCTCTATCTATCACACGCGCCGCACGACTTTCGGTTTTTCAACAATTTCTATTCGCCTTTCGTAAGCAACAAATTTCGCTAGCAACATGTGCCGCCCCCAGCCAGCAACATTGTTGCCTGACCTTGTTCAATGTCAAACAGAAATTCATGCGCCCTGTGTTGACGACGCTGCCGGCGTAGGCGTCGACTGAGGCAGCACTGTGGCAGCGATAATAAAAGTGAAAGTTTCCACGTCACGCATTATGCGGGTGGGAGAGAGAGGGATGTAGGCAGGGAGAGCGAGAGGCAAGACTCCATGACTTTGATTACATCAGAGGAGGGAATTATTTCCGAGGTTTCCGTGACTTTGCTCAGTTACTAAAAATTCACCGTCGAGGTTGGTTCGCTTTTTCCCAAGTGCTCTAAGGTTTAATCAATCGTGCGGTTTTTGATAATAGTTGGAAGAATTAACAGGCCTTATAGAGAATTCGGAAATTAGGAGTTCCTAACAAAAAACATTGTAGTGCTTTATTTTTAGAAATTTTTTTAAAAACGTTATAGTTTTCACTCAGTCTATAAAAAATAGGCAACATTTTTTATGTAAATGTTGAAAGTGTGAGAAAGACCGAAAAAGTGAGAGAGAGAGCAATAGATATAGAGAAAAACACGTTTTCCGTGCATGCGCCTTTAATCGAGTTCAATCACTCGCTCTTTGCTATCAAATCAGCTGTGAGAAACACTAACATGCAAAGAATTTATTATCTGCAATGGAAAATATTCTGAAATTAAAAAAAATTCCAAGTGACATTGACCTGACACTGAAAATATGATGATATAATTTTGAATCATCATAACATGTGATTGTGTAGTTTCGTAATTTTAAAAATATTTCACAGATATTAGTCAACTTAGGATCGGTTATAAAAAAATTGTTATTATATTTTTTAGAATTTTGTTGGGTATTTATTTCCAAAGACAGAACCATAGTTCTCATAAATAATTTCTTACAAAATATATATTTTTAAAAAACAATTATTTATTGATATATAGATACGTTTTTATTGAATCGTTGAAAAATAGACAAAACAATAATAAAACTGGGTCAAAATCGAATGCTAATCCACCTGATTGATAACTGCCCCATTAGCTGATATGATCTATAAATGTTCCAGAAAAAAACATACACACCTTTGAGTTAATAGAACTTTACCGTCAACCTGTTCAGATCATTTTTAGAAAGTCCCCCACAAATTTCTAGTTTTCTATCCCCCAAAAAGTCTTCAAAATTCTTCGTTTAAGCAATGGATTTTTATTTTCTAAGCCTCTACCAAATTACGTAGCCAAATTACTAACTTGCAACCTCCGCTCTTCTTATTTTTCCACCAAAAATGTACCACCTTTGGCGATTGGCGTTAATCCGCATGGGAAATGGAAACTCATCTTGCAGAACTACACTCGAATCTCAAAAATGACCACCTACTTCAACTACCCCAGCAAGGAGCTGCAGGATGAGCTGAGGACCATCGCCCAGAAGATTGTGGCCCCCGGCAAGGGAATCCTCGCCGCCGACGAGTCCGGCCCCACCATGGGCAAGCGTCTGCAGGACATCGGCGTGGAGAACACCGAGGACAACCGCCGCGCCTACCGTCAGCTGTTGTTCAGCACCGACCCCAAGCTGGCCGAGAACATCTCCGGCGTGATCCTCTTCCACGAGACCCTCTACCAGAAGGCCGACGATGGCACCCCCTTCGCCGACATCCTGAAGAAGAAGGGCATCATCCTGGGCATCAAGGTCGACAAGGGTGTCGTCCCACTGATGGGCTCCGAGGATGAGGTGACCACCCAGGGTCTGGATGACCTGGCCGCCCGCTGCGCCCAGTACAAGAAGGACGGCTGCGACTTCGCCAAGTGGCGTTGCGTCCTGAAGATCGGCAAGAACACCCCATCCTACCAGTCGATCCTGGAGAACGCCAACGTTCTGGCCCGCTACGCCTCCATCTGCCAGTCGCAGCGCATCGTCCCAATTGTGGAGCCCGAGGTGCTGCCCGATGGCGACCACGACCTGGACCGCGCCCAGAAGGTCACCGAGACCGTCCTGGCCGCCGTCTACAAGGCCCTGAGCGACCACCACGTCTACCTGGAGGGTACTCTGCTGAAGCCCAACATGGTCACCGCCGGTCAGTCGGCCAAGAAGAACACCCCCGAGGAGATCGCCCTGGCCACCGTGCAGGCTCTGCGCCGCACCGTCCCAGCCGCCGTTACTGGTGAGTCCAGATTTGGGTTGAGAATAGGTGTCACTATAGTCTGTGGAAATAAGGAAACAGTGTATAATAAGAAAACCACATAGTAATGATATATCTCTGGAAACCTTGTAAAAGTAATTACTTAAGATTCAGTTCCAAAGATTATTTTGACACCTCTTCTTTTGTATCTGGAACTCCTTTTCCATTGCTTTTTCTATTACGAACGCTTTTTAATCCACTTTCTCCCTTAGGCGTGACCTTCCTGTCTGGAGGTCAGTCCGAGGAGGAGGCCACCGTCAACCTGAGCGCCATCAACCAGGTTCCCCTGGTCCGCCCATGGGCCCTGACCTTCTCCTACGGCCGCGCCCTGCAGGCCTCCGTCCTGCGTGCCTGGGCTGGCAAGAAGGAGAACATCCCCGCCGGCCAGAACGAGCTGCTCAAGCGCGCCAAGGTGAGTCTTTGGATAGTTCTTTCTACATAAGATATGGAAATAGTTAGTTACTTAAGAGGTGAATGATCAAAAATTGTCGGTTCTTATGCTTTGGAAGAAGGTATTGCCAAGGCTAATTGGTTTCGGGAATATTATAATAACCGCAATTCCAAAAATCTATCCTATTTATATAACCTAATGCTTGGAGGAAAGTATTGTCAAGGCAAATTGGTTTCGGAAATATTATAATAACCGCAGTCCCAAAAATCTGTCCCCTTTCTATAACCTAATCCTTAAATGTTCCTTATCTCACCCATCAACCAGTACCAATATCAAATCTAATCTATTCTTTTTCATTGAACTTTACCTCTAATCTATTTACGATGCTTAATTCATTACTTCCTTATCGAGCTCTAACTAACGTAACACTTCTAACTGAATAACTAGATGTTGGATTATATATATATATACCAAAACAGTAATTTCAATCAGCTAACAACATTCTCAGTACATTATTTTTTTAATTTTTAATAATCAATAACACCAAAAAAACCCATAATTTCATCAAACATAATCACCTAACCCCATACCTAGGCCAATTCTGAGGCGGCTTGTGGTAATTATTGTCCTGGATCTGTGAAAGGGTTCGCTGGTAAAGATACTTTGCATGTGGACGATCACAAGTACTGAAACAAAGAAATCAAGATTGGCTGCTTTAAGATGCCGAAGAACGAACTTTAATTGGGTAAATTTAATAACTAGACCAGCTTTGAACTCAAGCCGCCGTATCATTAACACCTGTAACATATCGCTCTCATTTCCCTCATGCTTTGCTTGCTCTATGCCTAATCTCGCCTAATCCTAAAAAGCCATAAAGCTGATTAATCCCGACCGAAATCCCGCTCTCCTCCCGCTTCCACAGGCCAATTCCCAGGCCGCCCTGGGCAAATATGTGCCCGGCTCGATTCCGTCGTTTGCCGCCAATGCCACCCTCTTTGTTGCCCAGCACTCGTACTAAGTCCCAAATGCCAAGCACTAATCCCGAACCAGAATCGAGCCAAGATATATCCCAAGCCGAAGCTAAGGCCAACTGCAAAGCGCACAAGATACTGATCAAGGCCCGAAAATGGACTGTTACTGGCGGCATTCACATTCCCCCAACAACGGAACTGCAAATATATTCCTTTTAGCCTATCGTATACCTTTTACCACATAAACTGACTAGATCATAAAGAATATTTTGGAAATTTTATGATAAACTGACAAGCAGAAATAAATTATAGATTTTCTTTTGATACCTTAGTTGTAAACTTTGTCTTTGATTTTGATAGTTTAAATGTAGTACTAATAATAATAATTAGTATCTAAGTTTACTTTTATATTTTATTCTAGGTTTTTTATTGGTCAGTTAGGGAACTTATTTTATAGGTTTATTTAATTTATAGGTGACCAAAGGTTACCTGTTTACCCAACTTAACTTTGTTTATGATAAGTAAACTTTTTGAAGGGCCCTGGCTAACTTTCTAGTGTTTATTAGTTAAAGTTAAAGTTTCGAAATGTCTGTAGCTGACAGTTGAGCTAAAATTATGTGGTAAACAAAAGCACGCGTGCAATGAAAAATATGGTCAACCTGCCACAGGCTCCTCTCCCGATCCCCAGCGCTATTATATGTAATCGAATCATAATTTTCCTGTAAAAGAACTTGCAAAATGAAATTTTCCCAAACTTTTTACGCTGTACGTAACGTGTATTCGTGCGCTTGGATGGTTAGAAAGTTTCAATAAAATTGCCGCAGGTGGCTGGGAAAAGTTTTTCGTGTGCAGCAGAAATCAGTGCGAAAACTTTTCAAGCTGGGCGAAAAACTTTTCTGCTGCGGCTCGCCAAGTTATAACTAAGTAATAATTAAGAGCAAGCGTTTGTAATTAGGAAAGGTATTTTCCTGGATATTTTCCAGGATATTTCCCAAATAATATTAACCGATTTCCCCGCCTTTCCTTTACCCCCAGGCCAACGGAGATGCCGCTCAGGGCAAGTACGTCGCCGGAAGTGCTGGTGCCGGATCCGGATCCCTGTTCGTGGCCAACCACGCCTACTAAGGCGTTTGGTTTGGGATGGACCTTGTCTGCACACAATAAGAAACGCAACCACATACAACTAACTACGAAGCAGATTGCTGGAATCGTTTGGCAGTTTTGTTTATTTTTATCTTAGTTTCAAGAGCTAAGCAAAGCAAGCATTAAAAAAACCAAAAAAAAAGAGAACACGAAGGATTACATTTTCAAAACATGTTTTTTATGTGTAGTACGTCACATGTTTGCAAATTAATTATATGATAAAA